TCAAAAAACATATAAGAGTTTATATTATGTTTTTATGTATGTAAAATTATTTTTAAAATCATGAATTCAATACACACTTATTATATGAGCTTGGAAAGCATACAGAATTACAAAACACAAAATAAAAATCACAACCTTAATTCCCAGCAAATAATCAATTTACATTACTTTTTCAGGTTTAATTCAGTTATTTTATAAATATATATATAAAGTTTTAAATTCAGCTTTTTGAACCTAACATGTAAAGTTGTTAAATAATCTCATTACAAAAATTTAACACTATGAACAAAATCAATGGAGAAAAACTAAACATGCAAGAGAACAAGTTAACATTTTTAGTCTGCCTCAGTTTTTCATCTGTTGAAGAGACTCACATGTTTTAGATGCCTGCTCTTAAACATGGCACACACTCAGTGCAATGTTATTCTTATGCAATTGTCTCAGTGCAGTTCAGTGACTGCCTGACTTGAGCCATGAACATTTTTCAGCAAGTCTCCAAGAAGCAGAAGTAACACAAACTCAGGAAGCATGGCCAACCATGGCCAATGGCCAAATATGCCTTTGGCAGCTACATTGGGTTGTGTTTTCTCCTGAAGTTTGTTTGTGTCACATGGCAGTCTCTGAAGTTTGTGTTAGGTTACAGTGTACAACAATGTTGCTGCTTTACCCTTAGTGGGTCAAATTGTAAAAATCACTGTAAAGAATGGGACAGGGTTCTTTGGTTTCCAGAAAAGGAATTGGATGTTCACTTAATTATGCTGTAAATTGTTATTAAAACAAAAAAAAAAACTTCCTTACAACTAATATTTGACATCCATTCTATCTATGGATGCGAGGCATAATTCACTTATACCCACCATCCTGTCCCATGTCTTTGCGTGTTGTGGTTTTATGAAATCAAATAAAAATTTTTTCTTCTGGCCAGCTAATAGTCTGATAAGATTGAGGAACTCATTTCTTACTAAGTCCATTATTCATTGCAAACGTCAGAATGTGGGTAATTCCCATCTGCTGAGCAGCTGCAATTCAGGCCATAAAGTACAAAGTACACCCAAGCATTTTACAATTAATTCCATGTCCACTATTACTCATTAAAATCAGGCTGGGGCCTTAAAGGAACAGGAGCCCTGGGATCTCCTCAACATCCCTCCTCCATACCTGCCACCCCCATACTAAGTCTCTCCGTGGCTACTCTTCTTCCAGGCCTCTACCAGGATCCTCTCCCTGCACTGCCAGAGGCAGGGGGCCAGCTTCTGTCCTGGGGAAGCTTATAATTCCTCATGTTCATTTAGTTAGAACTCCAGTTTATATGGAAGTTTGGCATCCTTCAGTTTAGTAAAAACATCATCCCTATTATATAGTGTATGATAATGTTTTAAAACACACTTGTTATATACTGTGATGTGGTATTTTGTGTACCAAAAAAGGTATGAAAAACAAGGTCTTTTCTTAGAAAATCAATTTCTTAGGTTTCACACATAAAGTATGCTTGAATCTTGTGTCTATTTTTTGGGCATTCCTGTGGCTTATAGACTTCACAAGTCTGTAAATGAGAAGACTGGATATAGAATCCATTTCTTATTACCCATTTTAAAGCTTTTTTAGGGCCGTTGAACAATCTATGCTAAACAGTTTGGGTTATGCTGGGTGGAGAACTCTTTGAGTGGGGGAAAAGTGCAAAGATTTTTTTGTTTCTTTTTTTAGAGGTGGTCCATTTAAATGGGCTCTAAAAAAAAATGTTAAAATTACCATTGACAGGTCACAATGTGTATTAGATCAGTGTCCCCCATCCTGACTAGGGGCTGCCCAGATAACACTTTAGTGATTGCATTTAAATCTCCTAAACCATATGATCCCTGTAGTTATTTTAGTCCTTTCTAGACTTTTGATCCTTCCATGCATGTGGGACACCTGATCATCTTTCCGTGCGACATCAGCCTCGTTCCTGTACCTCTACCCCAACACTATTGCAATGGTCCCACCCATCTTGCTGCCTCTAGCTTGTCTTGTGCTGAAATCTGTCCTCTACACTCTACGTAGTGGCTCTTAGTATCATCCTATTTTTCTGTGGCCTAAAACCTTCAATAGCTGCCCATTGCCTGCAGAATGAATTCTAAGTTACTTAAAATGGTTCACAGGGCTCATTGCTCAACATTTTCTGTTTTACATATTATATTCTTAGAATCCCAACTCTCTGAATTTTCTCCATAAACTACCTGTCCTTGTTAATGGTGTTTCTTTTGCCTGGCAAGCTCTTCACACTTTTTGTTTAATTCTTACCCACCAAAGTAAATCATAGGTGGAATCTACTCCTCGAAGCTCTCACCCACCCTGTCACTGAGGCTTCTTGACTGTGCCCACACAGCAACTGTCATGTATGAATGAATGACCATTAGCACAGGCCTTCTGTTAAAGGGAATTAGTCAGCAGATGCAGACAATCAATTCGACAATAACTCTTCAGCTCCTTTGCCCCTAATGCCAACAAATTGGAATGTTATATGCTAGCATTTTATTCCCAATGTTATATCAGACCTATTGTTTTATAAGATGTGGTTTCAACAGGTACATATATGAATCATTTTCAAAATTTCCCCTGGTAACATACACAAAGAAATACTTGGAATGCTTTCACTACAGCTATTCTTTCTGAATTTTCTAATTCCTTCGTTTATATTGCACTATTAACTTAATTTTATCCCAGTACTTTAGTTTACTGAGCTCTCATCTTCCACACTCCAAAATCCTTCAAAATGCCATTAATAGTCAGAGAGATCCTGCTCATGGTGAGGAAAATGGGGAAGATTTCTATGGCATCCATTTACCCTGTGTTACAGAGTCAATCGTGGATTGGCAGACTTTCTCTGCATAGGGCTAGATTATAAATATTTTAGGCTTTGTGGGCCATATAGTTGCTGTCACAACTACCCAGCTCTGCAGTTATAACAGGAAAGTGCCATAGCCAATAAGCAAACAAATGAGTGTGACTATATTCCAATAAAACCTTATTTACAAAAAAAAGGCAGCCTCAGGACCACAGTTTGCCCGTTCCCTGAGTCATTTGAAGACTTATTTCAGTCGAAGACTTGGACTCTGTTCAGGTAGAGAAACATTTTCCAACTGTACATGTTTTTGAGGTAAATACTTTGAAGGCTGCTTGTACCATACTGTGTAATGTGTTTTTATCAGAAATGGAAGCTGAGGGAATAAGATTATGTAAAGCTTCATCTGCTTTCATAACGTCTCTCACAGCTCAGCCTATCAGGAGTTACATCCAAATGACCCTGAAAAGTTCTATGTGATGCTCTGGCACTAAATAATGAGTGTTCATGCTCTTCACCAGCAGTTTAACTTTAAAAAAATATCCCACAGCAATGACCTCAAGGGAATTGTGCCCAATAATACTTAGAACAGAAATATTCATTAACAATAAAAATTCAAAATAACTCAGTCAAGAAATGGAACAATAGCATGGAGAACTTCTGTAGAATCTTTTTATATGGTAATTGTAGTGAAGATATTGATCCTTGGAAATGTGCACATTGAAAATTATAAGTGTATATGAATTCTGCCATTCAATATTCAGTAAGTATTTATCAAATAAGAGCCTACTATGAGCAAGTTTCTGCTGTGAGCACTGGGAACAGCAGTGAATAAAATCGATTAAACTTCCTGCCTTCATGGAGCCAATATTCTTATGAGAGGGAGACAAATAGTGAAGATCAAAGAGGTTTTAGTGATTGAAATACTTGGAATTTTAATATCATGAGTTTCCCCCCCACCCCCATAAATTGCTTATATAAAAAAGCTTTTTCCCCTTTGTTGTTGTTGTTTAGGAATGAGAATTTTCTGATAATCACATTCAACCAAAATTTGTGGAGTTCCTATTCATGCCAAGTGCTCTTTCAGGCAAAGCATAGTCTGAACAAAACATACAAACACCCCTACCCTCATGGAGCTATATTCTAGTGGAGGAGACAGAACATAAGATAAGTAAAATATATAGATGGTTAGATGGTGACTTAGAAAAGAGGTCAAGGGGGAAAGCAGGATATTAACTGTTGGGAGAAGGAAAACTGCTAGATTGGGGGGTCAAGAAGGACTCCTTGAGAAGGTGACTTTTGATTAAATAGTTAAATAAAATGAGTGGGCTAGCAAGGTGATAGTGTGGGGGAAGGTCACCCTGGGCAGATGGATCAGCAAGCACAGGCCCTGAGATGGGAGTGTACCTGGGATGTTCAAGGAACACCAAGGAGGCCGGTGGCTGAGTGTACTAAGTGAAGGAAAGAGTTGTAGAAAATGAGAAGGAAGAGGTAGCAGAAGACCAGATCACAACCAGCCTTTTAGGTCATTGTAAGGATGTTGGTTTTTATTCTGAACAATGGAAAGACATTGGAGAGTTTTGAGCAAAGGCAAGAGATGGTCAGATTTGCATTAAAATAGTTTCTGCTGTTGAGAATACAGGGTGACTTTTAGGAGGTTGTCGCAGTAATCCAGGTGAGAGATGAAAAGCATCTCAAGACATGGCAACACAGCGAGAAGGATAGAGGTGTGGCAGGAACCAGCATTCCCATGCCAGAGTCCACCTGCCACTACGAGTGAGATAACTCAGCTGCAACAACCATCCCCCTACTGCTGTATCCCCAATGAGAAGCACAGTTTCAGGTACACACTAGGTGCTTAATTTAGGTTGGTTAAATGTTGCATAACAAAAAGAAATGTGATTCTATTTCATGACTGCCTCCTGGTGCAGAATACTCACATCACCACTCAATCATTTTCCCGTTTTTGGTTATTTATTTATGAATTAGCACCTTCAACATTTTTTGATGTTCTAAGAATGCTTCAGTTTTCAGTGACCTACATTAAGTTAAAGTGACTGAGCACTAAAGACTCCATTGAACATTTCTATCTCATAATGTTTATAAACTAAAAGTACTATTATTGCCTTTTACTATTAAAAATCCTAAGACTGTAACTGAATGTGATTTATATTTTTAGGGAACAACTTAATTCTTTATTGAAGACCTATAACAATTTTTATGAGAACCAGAAACATCTGCATATTTTATATGGACAGGTAAGCCTATTGAAGAAATGCAATACAGTTTGATTCACAAAAATTTTATACAGAGTTAAGATGAGTTGGAGTCTATAATAGAGCAGCGCAAGTGGTCTGGGAGCAGCAGGTGAATCTTTAACTTGATTGTGATATTTTTAAAAAAATTATAACATAAAATCCAAGGCCTGGAACATCTGTAACTTTCTAAGCATTTTTGAGATAGGAAAGCATTTAAAAATAATTATAATGACATATTTGCTTTCTATTTTTTAAATGCAACATCAATACCTATTGAATAGCAATTCCACTAAAAATCTATCATAATAGTTTCTTACAAATGCACCAGGATATCAATAGAAGAACATTCATTGTAACATCATTTGTAATGGAGAAAATGTGAAGATATATTAAGTCATTACCAATGGGGGATTATTCAAATAAATACTGATGCACTTGTAACACTGAGTTTGATTTTGTTGTTAAATTGAAAGTTAGATCCCAATGAATGTGCACTGTATCATAATAATAACAAATTTCTAAATGTTAAAGGAACAATTATGGAAAGTTCTAAAGCTAGAAAGCAGTTTTAGGGGTGTAACTGGCAGACTACTGTGCAAAGTGGCCTTAGCTTTTCTTTTTCTTCTTTCTTTTTTTTTATTTGAGTATTTCATTCTTCACGGTCTCTCTACTCAGTCTTGTATTCTAATGGGGTTCACTTCACATATTCACAATATTTTCCTGACTCCAGGGAACATTAAAATTTTCTACTCCTGATTTAAATCTTCAAATTTGATGTCACAGCATGGACTTTAGGCCACCATGATTGGCTTAAACCTGCAGTGTGGACAGAAAATTTACAAAGCACTCTGGCCTTTATAACTGAGCTTAAATTATTTAGTTTTATTGGATATTTCCATTTCCTTCCTAAATTTAATAATACACTGAAGGAAATAACTAATGCCTTTATAAAGAAATGGGCCTTGTTTTAAAATGTTAAAATATTGTCATATGTCTTAGATTTGTAATATATGTAATTGCAAAAACATAAAATTTAGGAAAAAATCAAGACTTTTGGAAAATGATGATTTATATTTTAATTCAACAGTTTCTACAGATTCATGATGTTTAGTTTGTTTCCTTTTGGAAAATGTTTCAGTTTTGATTTTACAGAAATTTAAGTTGAGGTATGTTCTTTCCAATTCTATAAATCAGTGCTCTATTTACAATACAAAAGTTATTTAATTTTTTAAATAATTTTATATAAGTTTTAAAAACAGTATGTTGTGAAGTGTGGTATTAGTCCATTTTCTGTTGCTTATAAAATAATACCTGAAACTGGGTAATTTATAAAGAAAATAAAATTGATGTCTCACAGTTTTGGAGGCTGGGAAGTCCGAGGATCAGGGGGCGCATCTGGTGAGGGTCTTCTTCTGGTGAGGGTCTTCATCTGGTGAGGGTCTTCTTCTGGTAGAACTCTTGACGGAGTCCTGTGGCAACACACAGCGAGGACTAAGCAAGAGCACTTTCCCACGTGCTTTCTTCCTTTCCTTATAAAGCCCCTAGTCTACTCCCCAACAACCCATTAAATTATTAATCCATGAATGGATTAATCCATTCATCAGGACAGAGTCCTCACAATCTGATCACCTTCCAAAGACCCTGCCTTTTAAATACCATAGTCCAGTTTTCCATCCTCTTAACACTGTTACAATGGGGATCAAGCTTCAATGAGTTTGGGGGGGACATTCAAATCATAGCAAATATACAGCGAGGCTCTCAGATTGCTTAATCTTTCAATCTTTAATAAGTTGAAACCTAGAATAAATAAATTTATAACCTAGAATTTGCCAGATTTTCTGACTTAGTAAGAAATGATGGATACTATTGAAAAGAGCAGTCCATGGATGATGATGTGTAGCTTTCTTCACCTCTGATTAATTAGTTAATTAAACAAATATTTACTGAGTGTCTACCCTGCTCCAGACACCATTCTAAAAGCTGGAGACACAGCGATGAAGAAATGAGGCAGAATGCCCTGCCTTCATGCTGCCCACATTCTAGTAGAATAGACAGAAAAGAAACAAAGAAGTGAAACATATATGTAGTATGTCAGGTGGTGATAAGGGCTGTGGAGAATAGCAAAGCAGGGAAGAGGGCTCAGGAATCTAGGTGGGATGGGGGAAAGGGGTATTTGAGAAAAGACTCTGAAAGATGAGAGGGAGAAAACCATGCAGAATTCTGTGGGACCTGAAATGCAGACAAAGACAGCAGCCTGCACAAAGGTCCTGAGCCTAGTGAGTGTAATTGAGATACAGCAGGGAGGCCAATCTGGTAGGAACCCTGTGAGAATGGGAAAGTAGTAGACAATGAAGCTAGAGAGATAACTGATGAGACGAAGGCACCAGAGCGTGTAGGGTCTTGTAGACAGATCACTGTGCAAACTTCAGCTTGTATTTGGAATGAGATGGGAAGCCACTAGGGGGTTTTGAGTAGAACCAGTAACATTATCTAACTTACATTTTAAAGGGCTTTCTCTAGCTACTGGGAATATATGGAGGGGCAAGGGAAGAATGAGGTAGGCCAGACAGAAAACTATTACAATAACTCAGGCAAGCAATGGCAATAGTTTGGACCAGAATGGTAGTGGGAAGGTGGTTAGATGTGGCCATATAAGGGATACATTTTTAAGGGAGTGCTAACAGGACTTGCTGATACGTTGGATGTTAGGTGTGAAAGAAAGGTTAATGGTGGCTCTAAAAGTGGCCTGAGCAAGTGGAAGGATGAGGGTTCTATTTACCAAGGTGCAGAAGAGTGAAAGAGCAAAATAATTACGTCAGAAAGATCAAGAGTTCAATTAGAAACATACTAAGGTTGATGTAAAACAGGCAGTTTGATAACTGGAGTTTAGGGGGAAGGTTTGGGCTAGAGATATAAAGTTGGGAGCTGTAAGTTTAGAGAAGGTATATCAAGATCTTTGAGATCACCAGGTACATTGGTGTAGATCCAGAAGTTAAGAGGCCAAAGGACAGAGTAAATAAGGCTTCAGGGGTGACTTATTTAGTTGGTCTCTAAGGAGATATTTTCTGATACTATTGGAAAATATTCTGAAACTTCTTATGTGAAAAAACATTGTTTTGATAATAGAGTATTTCTTCTTGAAAGCAAGAACCTCAGGAGAGCAGTTGTTGTATGAGTATTAGATGTAAAGGATAATTGGAGTATAATTAGGCAAAGAAAATGCTGTACACCAATGGCTAAACTATAGAATCTGCATCATATACTGTCATTTCAAAGAACAGATTATGTTTGGTTATTGAAAACAACTGATTGGTAACCTGACATCTTCAGTAATCTGAATGTGAATTCAGAAGTGGGAGAAAGAGCAGAGCTTTGTTTCAGGAGTAACTCCAAAGTAGGTTTATCAGCCAAAGAAAGAATAAGCAATAATATCTATTGAGTACCTATTGAATGCCAAGTTCTATGGATTAAGGATCATTATAATGTCCATTTTTCAGAAGAGGAAGCTTGGGCTTAAAGGTAGCAACTCATCCAAGGCCACACAGCTAGGAAGTGGCAGAGCCGGGGCTCGAAAACAGGTCTGTCTGATTCCGGAGTCTGGAGTTTCCATTTTGCTCTCAAATAAGAATTTAGTAATTTATGTTGTTTAACAATTGATTTTTCATAGTAACAATAGTTAATGGATGTTATAATAGTTATTGGCTAGTTGGCATATGACTCTTCTCAGTTTATATGTTTTCCAAAGTTTCTGTAACAAAAACACATTGCTTTACTAACAGAAAAGGACTTTTATATATAAAAGAGAAAAATAGATAAGAAAATAAGTTCTGTGGGAATGAGCTTTGGTCTTAATATTTCTTTATATCCACAGAATAAGTAAGTGTTCAATTTATGTTTGCTAATTTTTCTTTGCATGGTGTTTTCTTTTTTGTTACACCATTTCTAATTTAAAAGAAATTCTTCAAAAGCTATTGACTTTTCAAAAATATCATTTCTATAATGTTTTGTGTTTTACAGTGTTTCTCTTGCATTTTACATACATGATTTCTCTTGTGCTGCATGGTAAATTTATGAGTTAAAATTTTGTTGTTTAGAGATGAGGAATCAGCTGCTAAGTCTCTCAATAGCTGTTTCCTCTGATTTTTAGCTTAGTACAGTTCTAAAATCTGCTTTAATTTTAAATTAAACAGAATTAGAGAATTAAAATTTCACTTAATCAAGGAACTATAGAGTTCAGAAAGCATTTTAACATACTCTGCCCTCTGGTGGACATGCCATTACCGCATGACTTACTTTGCTGTTTTCAAAAATAGAAGAATGTTTTCAAAAATAAAAGAATGCTACAAAAATAGAATTATTTTGTAGATAAATTCAGAAGCCAAACAATCCCCCCTGGGATTTTTTTAACCTATTAATACATTTATGGACAATTTCTACATCTTTAGTTAAAACATTTTCCCTCTATAAACAATACAAAAACTTTTTATTTTTATTTTTTATTTTTTTGGCTTCTTCCTTAGACTGAAGATGGCAAACTAATTGTTGAAGGAATGCTGGACATTTCCTGGGGAGTAAAACGACCTATACAGCTGAAAATACAAGATGAGAGGCAAATCCCTTCTTTTAGTATGTTGAAGTCACCAGACATATTTTCCAGCAAAGGGTAAGCTATTTTTCAGGTTTTTAATTCCTTAAAAGATGATCTTTGTATCCACTTTAATTGTATGCATTCTTAAAGAGAGAAGCTTTTGCTTGTGTGTACATGCTTATACACAATCTCATCTAATCCCCCAGCAACTCCATGAAGTAGGTGTTCACAAACCAGGGTTCTTCAAGGTTCAAGGTGATTTGTGCGAAGATCCCCAATTACCATGTGGCAGAACTGGACTGGACCATGGTTCTATGGCTCCAGAGCCTGTGCTCTCAACCCCTCTGCTGAATTGCTTCTCTCCTGGAGGACTGCATTCCTTCATTGGAAAAGACAAAATGTAAAGGCAGGATTTGATTAGCCCAGGCCTGGTCTTCAATAAAAGGGGATAAAATTTAAATTTCTCCTCTCCTTGAAACAAAGGGCTCTTCCTGCTTTCTGGAAGGGAGACTTAATTATATTCCTCCTGATTGTCCTGATCCTGTTCAACAGAGCACAACAGAGTGCATTTGAAGTTAAGTAATGCACAAAACACTTTTCTGGCTGATTTTTTCATTACCCCTTACAATTTTTGGAAAAATTAATAAATATTCCCAGCAAGAATCATATCTGTGAAGTCTGCTTTCTTCCTTCATTTCTTCCTTCCTTCCTTCCTTCCTTCCTTCTTTCTTCCTTCCTTCCCTCTTTCCTTTTCAATCCTTAACTTTCCAACTCTTCTTCCTTTTGTATGTACATTGAGGTTCCAAGCCTTCTCTGCATGCCATTCATGCTCCCGTCTATTATTAGATGAGTTGGAGTTCTATCAGAGGAGAAGATGGAGATAGAGCTGTGAGGACCATTAGCTCAATCTGATCTTTGGCCACAACTAAGGAAAACCAGATATCACCTTAAGGGAAGTCTACTTTTTCTTTGGGGAAGATATTTAAGTCTCACCATGATTTTCATCTTGCCAATATTTCCAAACATTGTGTTCTAGCAATACTGAGTGTTTTGTAATTCCCTACACATATCATGCAGTTTCTCACTAGTTTCTGACTCTGCCTGCAAGTCTACCTGCTTCTCGACACCCAGTTACCTGACTTCTGCTACCAATCATTTAAGACTCACATTGGTAACACATTCTCCAGAAAGCCTTTTCTGACCCCTTAGTCTGTACAAAGTGCACTGACAAACTTTTCCATTTCACCTTCAGAGCATGTAGTTAATTGTATTTTTATGGACTTATCTCCCCCTCATATAGTGTGAGCTTCTCAATTGTAAGGAACATGCCTAATTTATCTTTGCATCCCAGTGCCCAGCAATATGCCTGGCACAAAGAGGGAGCTAAAACTATATTATCAAGTGAAGTCCCCAGAAACCTGTGGTTAAATTACTTCTCCTTTGCTGTGACAGCTCTGTCTATCTGCCACTTCTGACTAGTCTCCCATCCAAGCTAAGGATTGCCAATGGGCATAGGGTCCGGTGCTTACTACAGAGGAGAAGGGGGGGTCACAGTCTTAGGCAGCCTGATGAAGCCCTGCATCCTGCACCTTCAGGTTCTAGATGACTGAAAGGGCTGATGATTCTAAATGACAAGGAGTGTCACTTAAAAAGAGAAATTACCCATGGGCACTGCTTTTATAAAACTGTACAATATATGAACTCACAGTATTAGCTATCATACTTCACATCACCTAAAAACTCATTGCAAAGTTGTCTTAGCAGTCAGCTCCCTTTGATGCATCTTAATTTTTTGATTCATGAAAACTTAGTAAGTATAGAGCATTAAAGGAAGATGTCAAGGAGACGGAGGCACTTGTAATATCACATTAAGCCATCATTACTTTAAATGGCTCTCCCAAGATATTTTTTTAATTTCTCAAATTCAAAACACTTGTTCCTAGCAATCCTAAATTTTAAGGTAGTATTGATGATAAGGTAGTATTGATGCCTCTCCATATACTGCAGCAGATTATAAAATAATATACTCATGACACACCTTCTATAGAATCTATTTGCAGTTTTCCATTGTTTATCAGAACATCATTGTGAAGCAAACCGGAATTACCTCCTTTTGTTTAAAGTTGAGAAAAAAAATTACCTAGAAAACTTCATCAGCTTGCCCCTTACCATGGTAACAAGATTTACTGGGGGAATGTTTTGAAGTATGTACTTGCAGTGTATCAGACAAGAATGGGCAGAAAAAGATCCCACTCCTTACACACACACAGACTCACACATACACAAGGGTAAGATTAGGTTCAGTTGTGATGAGTTAGCCAAGAATACTTTGTGGGAACCAGCTGAACACTCAGGCAGGAAGGCACAGCGTACTTTGGAATGTTTTTGGCCTCTGGTTCTCTAACTCAGTGCATAGCCACCTAAGGTACAATTCTTTATTTCAGTCTAATCCTAGACAACCTCACTCTGGTTGCCACCTTTAAGGTGACATTCATTTAAATTCTGAACCTCAGATTAAAGGCTCAATTTCTTTTGTGTACGGCTGGCTGGTTAGCTCAGTTGGTTAGAGCACTGCCTTGTAACACTAAGATCAAGGGTTCAGATCCCATTTACCGGCCAGATGCCAAAAAATAAATAAATAAAAAGTAAAGAAATAAATTAATTGACTATTGCCTTACTCTGAAACTTCTCCCGTGTCTTTTTTTTTTTTTTCATACTGTGCAGCTATGGGCAGAACTTACACCTCTGCTCTCGCAGGACCACAGATGTGAAGTCTCTGGTGGGTGAACGTGGAGAAAAGCACGTGGTAGTCGTGTACTCAGCTGCAGGAAGGGCTGCAGTCTCATGTCTTTCAGTTCACCTTTTGAGAGAATCATCAGTCTTTCGTGCTAGTTTGCTTTAATTATGTTTGAAATGAGTCATACTGAGAAAGTATCAGTTTCATGGGAGTGGTAGAAGCTTAAAAACAAATGTTTGTTTGAGTTGTGACCACTGTGATCCTTTAGGGAAATGACTGTGGGCAGTACTTTGATCTCTCGTATCTGGCCCAAGTGTTTTCTCTTGGAAATTTTTTGTTAAAAAAAAAAGAGAGAGAGAGAGAGAGAGAAAAGGCTCTTTGAGGTTATGGTTGCTTGCACTATTTTTCATTTCTGTTTTTTATATCTTTCCCAAGTCAGCTCTGGCATATTTTGAACAAGTCATGGCAGAATGATATAAAGAGCAGAAACTGGACAGGTGTACATTTGAATAACATTAATAGTGTTGGTTTTTTCTTACAATAAGGTTAGAGAAGTGACCACATTCTGTTTGTCTATCAAATTTCTACCTCCTTTTAATCTTTGTTCAAAACCTCCCTACAGCTTAAGTTTGCAAATGGTATACATCCTGAAATTTGGTCAGAGCAACGTGCAAACAGTCCCGTGTTTAGACAAGTGAAACTATTTGATATTACATAAAGTTCTAACCAGTTTTCTATTGAAAACTTTGGGTAACTGCCCTCAAGCTTAGTCATGTACACGGTTGTATGGGGTAAAGCTTCAATGACACAATCTAGTGTTGAAAATGTGCTTTCTGCTGTGGATGAGAGGAAGGAAAAGGGACCAAACACCGTCATATATTGAACCATGTTTGTCCCCGGCATTTGTGTAGCACCACTAAATTGTGAAGGAAGTGAGGAGGCAGCTGTCTAGTCTGCCAGGGTCACCAAAAATTTGTGCAGTGCATCACTGGCATTCTTAGGGGTTCTCATCTTCTCCCATATGAAATAGCATCAGGTTTCTTGCAATTTTAGTTTCTGCTTTTCATTGGGATTCTGTCTTTTCCATTGTTAACCCTCTTTCTGTGATAATTATACTTGTCCCCTGTTGGTTATTAATCTGCTATAGATTGAGGAAAATGGATAATTTTATCTACCATAAGTAATTAGATTCTGGGTCAGGACCAAAATAGTTCTTTGAGTTAAACTATTCCCTGTAGTTCTTGGACTTAATGACATTTATTTTGACTGGCTATATCCAGGATAGTAGAGCTTGCTTGAAAATTAATTAACAAATATATTGGGATTGCCTTATCTACTTCATAAGGCTATTACTAGTACCAAATGATATAATAGCTATTAAAAAAAACTTCAGAATAATTCAAAGATCAAGGAAAAAAAGGATAATGTTTTTTCATATTCACCATCATTAGTATTAATAAACATTTTTTGTTGCCACCAGTGTCATTTGGGTAGAATTCATGACATAAATTGCCTATGGTTAAATAGTTTTTGCTCATAAGAAAAACAGACATTAAGGAAGAGACCTTTAGTAGGACTAAGATTGTTCCCATAAATAATAGTGTCTGTTTGCCTAGAGAGATCCAGGCATGCCTGGGATTCCTAATGGTTCCTGTCCCATCATGAAATGGGTACAGATGATGATGATGATGATGATGATGTTGATGATGTTGATGATGATGACGACAATGATGACAATGAAGAGGAGGATGATCGTGATGATTTTTAACACATATTGAGTGCTTACTATGTGCACGGCACTGTTTCAAGAATTTTACACAAATTAACTCATTTAATCTTCACAACAACCCTATCCTACCTCATACTATTATCACCCCCATTTTTCAGATGAGGACACTGAGGCATAAGAGAGGATAAGTAACTTGTTTAAGGCCAGATAAATAAAATAAAAAATGCGTCTTGGCCTACTGTAAAAATAAGCAGTTGTTAAGTTTTATTTATTTTATTTATTTAGAATGCATTGAAAATTGCTAGTATTATTAGCAAAAAAGTTTCTCAAACATTTTCCTCTTTTGTAAATTGCATTCTTCATAGCAGTGAAAGGCCTTAAAGATGGGCACCAAGTGTTACTCTTCAGAGCTACTCTGCCTCACAGTGCTTTGAATACAACAGGTACTCAATACATAAAGACAGAATGAACGCTTCTATGTCTAAACTCTCCTAAGAATATTGTGAGATATCTTTATAACAATGGATCATGTTGGTTTCTACTTTTTCTACTTCCATTACATTTTACAGAATCTGTGTAACCTTGTGTTTCAGTGTGGAACTGAATTATCGTATCAAAATGTCAAGATATGTTTTTTTAAAAGTACAGAAATATTTAAAACACATACTGACCAAACTGGTATGAATATAATTTCAGTAATGTCATAAAATTGTTATAACTTTGGATGATATATCTACCTACAGAGGCTTTTACAAATACTATATCAATATTGTAAATCTGAAAACCATCATAGGCCTCAATACAAATGGGATTGCTGTCATTTATAAGAATTATTGCTTTTCAGGAGAATGACACGCTGGGGGGAATTTGATGATCTTTATCGTATCAGTGAACTGGACAAGACACAGATTATGGTGTATGAAACAAGGAATTCCCAGGAAGGTTAGTATCAAAGTCTTATTAATGGGGAGACTTATTTTTTGAATCAATGTAAAGCATGACTTCTAAATGTTTCCCTGAAATCTAACCTTTTACATACTGCTACTTCATGAATCCTTGTTTTATATGTATATATATTTTTTAAATCTCTCAGGAGCATAGTAACTTAAGTCACCATAGTGCTCATGTGATGTTGAAGAACCTTACTTTGCTAAATTAAAAATGGTGATTTTTTAAAAAATTAAATCAAATCACTTAGACTTATTAGATTAGAAAAACAATTTATTAATTTATTTTAAATTAGGGAGAATTTATTATATTAGGTTTGAATAAATTTTGTATTCATAAAATTATTCAATATTTTCTCCAAGGATTAGGGTCATTTATTATTCTCAGTAGCTTTATACATTAGACCAACCCCTCAGACCTAATCCCACACCTTTTAGAAGTTGAACATCGTAGTTAATAGATATTTAAAAAACATTGCTTCTCAGAAAGAGACACATATTCTAAAGTCACTTTTATATTCGATGCAGTCATTTCAAAGACTCATTTTAAAAAACAGAAATCTACTTAAGTATGAAATGGAATTCATATCCAACTTGGAAAACAGTGGAAAATGCCAGTTCCTGTGACATGTGACATTAGTCGTAATAATAATGATGATGTGATAGAAACAATAATGATATAGATAGCTTTAATTTACTGGGACACTGCTAAGTGTCAGCCATGATATTTTATATTTTACATGGATTTTTTCATGTTATTCTCATATATTGATATTCGAGGAGGAACTGAAGACTGAAGCTGGAGAGCGGGGCGGGGCAGGGATGGGCAGTAGGGTGCAGGTACCTGGACTGGGCCTGTGGTATTACCAAGCTGGGTTCAGACTGAACGAAGGTATCCTACCAGCATTACCTTCATAAGCCTACCAACAACTTTTCAGTGTTAATTGTTTTTATTCAAACTGTTCTCAATTCTGCCTCCTCTGTTGTATCCATAAGAACTCAAATCCTATAACAAACATGATGTTCCTTCCAGGGTTCCCTTACCTTTGTCTTACAGAATCTTGACATCTTGTTATATACAGGCCTTTCCAATTATCCCTTTGAAAATACTCATTAAATCCAAGAGAATTCCAATATCTTGCCACCAAAGATACCATAAAAATCTATTTGTATTTAAGCACCAGTGCTAGAGAAAGATGAAATAGCTCATGCCTATTTGATAATACTGTAATTATGATAGAAAATTATATGAAATCTCAAAGTAAAATAGAACATGAATGCCACCAGATGGCCCTGCTCTTACATAAGAACATGCTTAGTTGAGGGAATTAGAAAAGGTGCTTATCCGTCATCTGGATACAAGTAGAAAAGGGGGCAGAAGGAAATTTTAAATCTTCTGCATCTTAGGCTAGGAATACGTTGTAGCTCAGCCCAATTCCGTTTAAACACACTCTGTCTACCCAGTAGATACTAGGTCAGTCCAATGCTATACTATAATTTTATATTCTGAAATCTGTTATAGAAATTGGAATAACCCAATAACCAAATTTTAACTGGCGGTAATGGATCATTGTTGAATATACATGGCTCAATGAAAGGAAATAATAGGATAGTGGGCAATTAAGTTATTCATATCATACTTCTGGAATGTTCTGGAAAGAATATTATGTGAATTATCCCTGTGATATGTTGCTAGCAAGCGCTAGTCTGAAGAATTTTTAAAAGTTTTTTTTTTTATAAAAGTTGGCAACACCAACTTTTTAAGGCTCTACTTACCATATAAGTGACTTCTCAGGGATCTTTCTTTAATTTTATAGGGAAACTAAGGCCCAATGTCTATCTTTTTAGGAAAGGTCCCATTATAACTTGGAGCCAAAGTAGAACAGGGATCCAGACCTGATTCTATTTCTTATAAGTACCGTGTTCATGGGAAAGCCACTTCAACTCATTGTACTTTATCTCACATACGTGAGTAAGAGATCACACCTGATAAGGTATCAGGTTTCTTCCAGATCGAACATTCTGAAATTCTATATAATGCACTCCCCCAACCCCATCCCCTGCAAATAAATTAAGATTGAAAGAATGCTTAAACTCCAAACATTTGATCATTGTGATCACATCTATGAGACATAATTCACTGAACTTGCTGAGTCAGATCCAGACAGCAAGGGACTAACTTTTATTAATAAATAAATTATAGCTAAGCAGTGGACAATAATGCTTTTAAACAGCCAGGAAATAGCAATATTCCTAAAATTAATAAAAACATATACAAATATTCCCAGGATGCAAGGAGATAGGCAGCTAAATGATATGGTCTTATAATCTTTATTCTTCCCAGACTATTTATCTTATCACAGCAGCACTTTGAAGCCACGTGCAGATGAAGATCAGGAATCCCCATTGCTCTATAGAACCATGAGTGAAGCAACCCTGGTGAGAAAACGGGTGAAGCCTCCAGTGATGGACAGAAAAAGACAGAACCATAGGGCCTCTATTAATGGACATTTCTATAACCATGAAGTGAGTTACAATTCCATTAATGTAATTTAAAATAATGTTGTCTATTGCACTAACAGTATATCACTCAATTCAGCTTACGATAAAAAAATAATAATGACAATAGTAGTAGTATGTCTAACATTTATTGGGTACTCCCTGTGTTCTAGGTATTAAACTAAGTGTTTTAAATAGATTTATAATGAATTATCTCATTAATCATGGAAATAATCTTATGAAGTAGGTACCATTATTTTCTTTACTTAGCATATGAGTTACTTGAGGTTTATGGGGGTTAAGTAATCTGTCTTAAGTCACTACTTTTAGGTAGTAAATCTGAACTTGAACCCAGCTCTGTCTGACTCTGGAACCTAAGTTCTTAACCAGCGTGATAGGTGAAGTCCGTCTAAGTGGCAGGCACTGTGTCAAGCACTGGAAATGTACAGATGAGTCAGCTGATGCCTCTGCCAGCATGGAGCTCAGGGCTTGGGCAGGGAAACCAACATACCAACAAATGTCACAACAATGTAAGGGCTGCAACAGAGGTAGGTTCAAAAGACATTTGAACACTAATTTAAATAAAAGGAAAAAGTCAACTACATGCCTATTTATTCCAATAAATCAGGCTTCTAATTTTGCATGTTCCCATCCAGGTCTCTTACCTATATACATATCACTTTTTTATACAGGTGTAGTTTTAGTTTAGAAACAATTTGTATTTTGATTTTTCACTTAATATGTGCTAAATTCATATGTGCCTTTCCACGGGACTTGTAAGACATTTTACTTTTTTGAAGGTAGGAAATATGCAGTCATTTTTTCTCGAGAAGTCAAATATTTTTCATGGCATGTACTTTAGCAATCACTCATCCATCCATTTAACAAATTCTTAAAGAAAACATACACTGTGCTGAGCACCCTCTGAGCCCTTCAATAAGAAATATTCACTCATTTCTCTATAGGCTTTTTCCTGCAGGGCTTTCTACATAATTCCTTCATCCTCCATCCCTGGGAGGGTATTAGTCGTGCGCCTTTGGAGCCTGGTGGTCATACAACTCCCTTCTCAGTTCTTTGTTCAAATTAGACATTTTTCTGGTTCAAGAATTATCTTCCTGGCTATAAAGTAGCATTGGCAGTCCCCAACAGATATGCAGCTACCAATTGCCCTGTTTTTTTCCTCTCCTCAGAAATTATGCTGTATATCATCATTTTGTGCGGTGATTCGTATTAAAGCACATGAATGGCTTCCAGATGGGATCACTTGTGCTGAGAATAAAACTGGCACTAAGTTGCAGCACAGCATAGTGGCTAACTGCTTGGGCCCTGGAGCCTGACAACCTGATTTCAAATTCTTGCTGAGCAAAGTTAAAAAGTTACTCAATCTCTTGGTCTTAGTCCCTTCATCCTTCATACTTGACAAGGTTGTTGATGGGATTAAGTGAAATGAGGTGAGTGAAGCACTAAGCACTGTACCCAGCACAAGGGAAAAACTAAATTTACATTAGCTTTATTGTTGATTGAATGAGGTCGAGCTGAAACTACAAATACTTTATACAGATGTCATTCACTTCAATTTCATAACTAGTGGAAAGCAATACAAACAAAAAAAGAAAAACCAAAACGCAGGCACTCTATCAATGGGTATACAATGATGGACATCTAGGAATTTGAGTTGATATGTTTCATTAGTTGCTATGTATCATTAGATGTATTTTTATACCTTGAAACCCCTTTATAATGCCAATATGGTTAGGCCATGAACAACACCCGTATTAAAGGCTTAGATTGTGATATTTAGAGATAAGGGAACGTGACTTGGCCAGTGATAACAGTGTAGGGTGGAAAACCTTACAAGAAAAAGCCTATAGAGAAATGAGTTCATATTTATATCCAAGATGATTTCATAACAGGGTTTTATTATGTGTGATGGTCAACACAACTGATATAAAGAATGTGGCTTTAAAATAAAGCTCTGAAAAACATGATTCTGTATTCATTGTACATTGCCACTTTCGAAGGGCTCTTGGAGATCATCTAGTCCTCTCTTATTTTATAAATGAAGTCATTGAGGCCTCAAGGTGTTAAGTGAGTTAAAGTTAGAGTTGGTAGGCACTAGGACCTAGATCTCCTGAATCCTGATCTAGTTCTATTGTCATATTCCATGAAGCTTCTCCATATAAACATCACCAGATATCTAACATCCCTCACCTTCCTGCAGGATGAACCTACGGCTCTCCAGGGCTCCATCAAGCTCATAAGCGCTGCTCATAAGTGTCACGGAGTGACTTGACTCATCCTCGCCCTAAAATGTTCACAAACATTAAATTTTCTCATACTTACAGAAGTTTATTTCTGACATCCTCCATATATTTTCTCAGAAAACTTATTTACATATTGCACATATAAATGAAATATGTGGAAATAAGACTTTACTTAATATTCTTTTTTATTTTTAAGTACATCTCTCATGACTTTCTTTCTTACTTTCTATTACCTAAACCGTAAAACATATTTCCTTATATTCTGGTACACAGGGAGTTGTACTTCCTCCAAGATGAGCATCATAAGTTACACATATACCATCACTTCCCTACCTGTGAGTCTCTATTCACTATTGTTCCTTTTTCTAAATTTGAACATATATCATTTGTACCATAGAATTTAAAATTATTCTTATCTACTTGGTGGTTATGAGAATTAAATTGTTTAATATTTATAAAGGGCTTAGAATAGTTCTTGATACATAGTGAAGATTATGTTAAATTAATAATTGTTTGAGGTTTTATCCTTTGGAATAATATCATCACTGTCAGAAATTATATATTCTGTGTACTAATCAGTAATTTACTTACATATTGACTTATCTAATCAGATAGTGCAGCTCTTGCCTGAATACAAACACATCTTAATCCCTGTATAGATTTGTAAACAAGAAACATGTACGAGATAGAGAAATCCCAGTTGAATAAGTATCATTGGCCAGCATTTCCCAAAGTGTGTTCTATTGGCTACCAATAAGTATTATGGTTCAAAGGGAATTATTTATGTTAAAATTGAGATAATGATCAAATTATGAGTAAAGAATCCATGGTTGTATGTTTGATGTTTTTTATGGTGCCTTACTAATCCCGGAGAAGGATGTCCCAGACTTGTCTGACCATGGAGACCTTTTACCAAGTATACTCTGAAAAGCTGACTCTTGATTAGAACAACTTGTAGGAAATGTTGTGCTAGAGATTCAATTGGTAGCACTTTTACCCCAACCCTCGGTTGAGATATATGCTGAACCACATGAAAAAAATTGCCACCGCTAAAACATTTCTGACCTACCAAAATGCAGTGATTGCATACAGTTCAAACTAAAAACAATTTAGAACAGTTATTCCCGACTAGTAGGAAAGCATGGCATGTGAGTTCGAAAAAGCCTATTCATGTTGTTTTTGGCTTGTTTTTAGTTATAATAATTAATTTATCTTATAAATTAATATTTTAACTATTTTGATAGTACTTTTGGTTTGTTTTTAGTTATTATTTTTTTTAAATCTTAAACTACACTGAAGAAGAGTGTGACTACCTGACGAAAATATTAAGAACATCCTCAAATGATGTCTTACCTAACTTACTCTAGAAACAATGTAAGTTGCTTAAAAGGATACATAATATTCAACAACAACAATGAAAAAACAAAAACAAAAAGACAAGTTTTTAAACAGGTGACCTTGTTGTTTTTGCCCCACGAGGTGACCAGCTTCAAGATATTGACTATTCTTAGTTTGATATCATTTTAAAGACTTACATGACAATTTTTTCCTAGACATCAATTTTCACTCCAGCCTTTGGATCAGAAACTAAGGTCAGAGTAAACAGTAACATGAGAACTGAAGAAGTAATAAAGCAACTTCTCCAAAAATTTAAGGTAATATTTATAATAAAAATGAGCTATAAATATCTTGTATGTAATTTAACTGGAGACATGTAAATGCACTTTTCTGAAAAAGACCTATAAACATGCAAATCTAAATTAGATGCTCAGTTCTGAAGGATTCTTTCCTGGGTGTAGCACCTTTTAGTAACTACGTCCTGAGAAATTACATTGTTCCCAGGGGCACAAAAAAGGTTTTATATTTGAAAGTGGATATGGAATTGAGGAAACTAATGTATAATTTGGTCTGATTAGCTTAGAAGACATGATATAACAAAAAATTATGTTTGTTCATTTTTTTCCATTGACAGATTGAAAATAGTCCCCAGGATTTTGCTCTTTACATTATTTTTGCAACTGGAGGTAAGAAAGCTTGGTCACTCTTTGTACCTGATTCCAGTGTGTTACAGTTTTCTGCCCATGAGGAAGACAGAAGAGCAGTTTACCTCTTTCTGTGGGGAAAGGGTAGTAGGGAAGGAGAGGAAGGGGTTTTAGAACATTATATTTCACAGTTTCAGAGAAAGATAACCTAGGAATAAGATATCCTCAAAGAGTTTATAATGCAAAAGAGTTTGCTTCTTGGCCAGATATTAAATTATCTGAATGGAGATCAGACCCCTCAGGAATCCATTGAGCGTTGTGTAGGAATTGTCAGGTGCTTATGTCTTTGTTCACCTCTGTACTTCTTTTTGCTTTTCTCTTTCTAGCTGTTATGGGAATCACTGTTGCATACCATTTCTCTTAGACCTTGTTATTGCCTCTCTGTTAGCACAGGCTCTGGCAGTGTCCTGCTCAGTAGAGAAGCCTATTCAGAACTTGGTGGAAGGGGGTAAAATCTCAGAAGCAGGACACTGGGGAGGCACTGTATGTGAGGTACTAGGAGCAGGGCATGATAAAGAGATTAGAGAAAACCTAATGCAATACTGAAATGAAATTTTTTAAAATCACAAAAATGAGGGCAGAGCCCGTGGTGCACTCGTGAGAGTGCAGCGCTGGGAGCATAGCGACGCTCCCGCCACAGGGTTTGGATCCTATATAGGACTGGCCGGTGCGTGCGCTCACTGGTTGAGCACGGTGTGGGCGACGCCACACCAAGGGGTTGCGTTCCCCTTACCAGTCACGAAAAAGACAAAAAAAAAAATCACAAAAATGAAAACTTTTAAATGTTAAATTGCAGAAAAAGCCCAGGGTATAATTTATGTCAGAATGTTTGAGCTAGATATTAAATAGAACAAAATAATACATTTTGATGCCAAGCTGAATATTCAAACATATACAAAATTAAAAGCCTTATAAATTGAAAGCTTAAATACACACACACACACACACACACACACACACACACACACCCATACATACATCCTCGTTGTTTAGGAAAGAAAACTGAAAGATATAAAATAAGAGGTAGAAATACTGAACTGTATAACAATTTAAAAGATACAAACAGGGGCTGGCCCGGTGGCGCACTGCGCTAGTGCACCGCTTGGGAAGCGCGGCTGCGCTCCTGCCGAGGGTTCGGATCCCACATACAGACCGGTTCCCGCTCACTGGCTGAGCGAGGTGCGGGGGCAACACCGAGGGTTGCAATCCCGTTGCCGGTCCCGGTCCGGTACGGGGGCGACACTGAGGGTTGCAATCCATTGCCGGACATGGAAAAAGACAAAAAAAAAAAAAAAAAAAGATACAAACAGTAGATTATGAAGAATACTTTTGATGCATATTAAAGATTAATACCTACCATAGCAAAAGTTCTTGCAAAATGATAATCAAAAAAACCAATCCAATAAAAGTAGAAAAAAATATTTAAAAGCAATTGAAAGGACAAATTAAAATAATCAGGAAATATTTTTAGAAAAAGTCTTAAACTCAGTGAAATGCAAGTTCAAGCCACGACCTTGCTTTTATCATATCAGATTGGGAGATTTTTAAAAAATTATTCTACCTGTGGCTGGCATGGATAAGGGTAAAAGGGTATTTTCATGCAATAATGGCGAAAATATGACTCTCTCTCTCTCTCTTTTTTTTTTTGGGAAACTATTCTATCAGTATTTATTAAAATCTACAGTATTCACATCCTTTAGCCCAGCAGTCCCACTTGTGAGAATCTATTTCACAAAAATAAAAGCACTAGTACCTACAGATTTTGTGCAAGACTGTTTATAATAACAAAAAGCTAAAGACAAAGCCATCCTAGGGAATTGACTGAATAAGTGATTATTATGCAGCCCTTAAATAGGGAATGAGTTAGATTTACACCAGTGGGATGGAGGGAATTCCATAATATATCTTAAGTAAAAAATACAAGATAGCTTATAAGTATATACACAGTGCTCCCATTTTTGTAAAAGAAACAGTTATGAATCCCTATTTAAACATATGGTACATATGATCAGGGAGAAAGGTATGGAGTGATAAATAACAAGCCATTAATATAAGTTACCTGGTGGGAAGTTGGGAAGATGCAGAAAAGAGGATGGGAAGGAAGAAGAACATGAGAAGGAAGGAGGGAGGGAGAAAGCAGGGGGGGAAGAGGTAGAGGGGAGAGGGAGAGAAAGGGAGAAGGGAGGGGTGGGGAGAAGTTAGGGGAGGGAGGGGGAGAAGAAAGAAAAAAATGCCAAAACATGATTTTTTTAAAGGTGCTACAGTAAAAATAGCATGTCTGGTATGATCACCTGTATGTATTTTTGTGTGTGTGGGTGGGTGTGTATGTGTGTGTTTGTGCACGCACGTGCGTGTGCATAGAGATGAAGGGATGGGCATCCAAAGGGTAACACTGATTATTTCAGGGTTCTGGGATTCCAGGTGATTTTTGCTTTCTGCTTATACCTTTCTTCATAGATCCAATTATAACAGCTTGGGTTTTTTTTTTTTTTTCCGTGACCAGCAACGGATCACAACCCTCAGTGTCGCGCCCGTACCGGACCGGGACCGGCAACGGGATCGCAACCCTCGGTGTTGCCCCCGCTCCTTGCTCAGCCAGTGAGCGGCCGGTCTGTATGTGGGATCCGAACCCTCAGCGGGAGCGCCGCTGCACTTCCCTAGCGGCGCACTGTAGCAGTGCGCCACCAGGCCAGCCCCAGCTTGGGTTTTTTTGTGTGTGTGTGTGACCGGTAAGGGGATCGTAACCCTTGGCTTGGTGTCGTCCGCACCGCGCTCAGCCAGTGAGCTCACCAGCCATCCCTATATAGGATTCGAACCCACAGCCTTGGCGCTCCTAGCGCCTCACTCTCCCGAGTGAGCCACAGGTCCGGCCCTTGGGTTGTTTTTATAATCAGAAAAAAATAAGTCTATTTTCACTGCAAAAATATAGTTCTTTAAAATTTCATCTGTGAAAATCCCATTTTATAGCTTGTGCCAAAAATTTGTATACCTTCAGAACTGAAAATAATAACTAGGACCCTTAGGAACCAGGAACAGAGAAAAGAAAGAAGCATGTGGTCCTGTTTAGACAGTAATCTGGAAAATGGAGATTGTTGGAATTTAACACATTATATCTACTAAGCCTGTGACAATGTTTCTCACAGTGTAGTTCATTTCAGGATTACCTGGAGAGTTTATTTTAAATACAGATTCCTAAATCGTTCCAGATTAGTGGATGGGCTTGGAATATGCATTTTTTATGATCATCACAGATGATCATGGAGCAGAATTGTGAAGCAAGAAAACTTGCTCTGTAATATCAAGAATGGAACAGACTGAGAATGAAAACCAGGTTAACAGTAGACCTGGGGGTCAAAAGAGGCTTCTGGTGAGATGGTAAGAGGAGCTAAATTATCAGGGTCCCCAATTGCTTCGGAAATGGCAGAAGAATTAAAACAGTGAACACTGACTCTGTGGAAACAGGAGTGGGTAATGTCACTTTAATTGTGGGGAAGCCGGGTGTTGAGTTCTAGACCCTTTCTTGACTTTTTTCCTGGAGAAGTCCAGCGCAGGGGATGAAGGAAGGATGTGGGGGGCAGGGGGGTGCAAATGAAGAAAGAAGATGAATATAAGGGCACTGTGTTTTGTTCATGCATCATTCTGATAAAAACAAAATTCCAGATGTGAAATTACTTTGACAGAAAGCGAGAAGTACTTTTGTTCTAGAAGTACGTGGATTATAACTTTTCCAAATTTGAAGTTATGGTAATACACTAAATTGGAAGCTATTTTCTTTCTCTATATCATTTTTCAGGGCTGAATGGATAAAGTCCACAGATTAATAAAAATACTGACCCTTGATCTTAAAAACGTTCTTAATATATTTTTAAGGAAAAGCTAAGAACTGGATTGTGGGGTGAGAGAGAAAGGAAGAATTGAGGATAATTACAAGATTTTGGACCTGAACAACTGAAAAGAGAAAATTACATTAACTAAACATGGAAATAACCAATAAATATTTGTTGTATGAATGAATGAATGAAAAATTATAAGGAATTATTGAGGCATGTTGCTTTCTAAAAAGCATAAACAGGACTGGAGACTTTGCCTGAATGTTTTAACTAAAAGTAAGGTTGAATGCCTTGAGATACTAAATCAAAACTTGAGGTACAGTGAGAGAAAGAAGTTCATTTTTAGTTCATTTAAAAGTTTTAATTTCAGTTTGCTTTTTTGAGTGAGTGCCTCCTGTTGCATGTTATTTTCACATCTTCGTTCTTTCAAAGTGAGCTGAAGAAATAAAATGAATAGAAAAATTACTTCTTTTTTTCTAAGGTGAACTCCTGACTGTGGTTGATTCTTGTTTTCATTTGCAGAGCAGAGACGGCTAAAGAAGACAGACATTCCACTACTGCAGAGGCTCCTACAGGGACCTTCCAAAAACAATGCTCGCATTTTCCTCATGGATAAAGATGCAGAAGAAATCAGCAGTGATGTATGGGCACAATCTCCCCAAATCTGCCTTTGCTTTCTTCCTGACAGTACCTCGCACATAAATAAATGCTCTGCTTTCTTTTTTTTTTTTCTGTCCTAGGTGGCTCAGTACATTAACTTTCATTTTTCCCTTTTGGAATCCATTCTTCAAAGATTAAATGAAGAAGAGAAAAGAGAGATTCAAAGAACAGTAACAAAGTAAGTCAAGAGCGTGCACGCTGGGTACTTGGCCCTTTAATAGATTCAATGCACAAAATGTGTCTAATTTTTAATACTCTTTCTCTCCTCATTTTCAGATTCAATATGGAAAAGGCTATTATACTGAAATGTCTTCAACGTAAACAGGTAGTAAAAACAGAGACGACAGTTTAGCACTATAGGCCGCCATTGCTGAAATACTTCAGCAGAGTTACAGAGATGTTACTATTTGGTGAATGCATAAATTCTGTACTTGCATTCATACAAATATATATGACCTTGAATCTGTGGAAAGTTGAATATGAAAAAGATTGTTTTCCTTTGGAGTGATGAGGTTAAGAAGGGTTCACAGACTAAAATGAGCTTAAATTAGTTTCAGTAACTGAAAGAAGTTTGGATACTGTGTATTCCAAATGTATTTTATAGTTAAACATGTAATGGACTTGAATTTAAATGGTGTCTTCAGATATCATGCAGTTTAAAATTCTTTTAACTTGAACTCTCAAGAGAACTGAAACATCATCAACTGGCTCAGAAATGACTCAGAAGTAAAAGCTGCCAGTTCTTGAAATGAAAAAGCACATTCTCGTACCATCAAGGAATCTGACAGTGACAGTATTTCATAGCTCCTTGAAAAATCTGGCATTTCCATAAAATCTAGAACTACTTTTATAGGGATGAGTGACTTTTGGCTCCATCTGTAACACAAGAGCTATTTGTCCTTTGAGAAGGAAAAGATTATGATCTCTCTTAAGAAATCCAAATTGTCATTTTCTCAACCTAGGCCCTTTATTTTTTCCTCTCTCTCTCTGTTCTACTGGTGACTTCCATAACTATTCTTAAGCTTTTTAAAAGGTAGTTGAACTCTTTTTTTCTTTCTTTATTTTTCCAAACAAATATACCACAGAGACAATATATTGCATCAGCTAAAACAAGACTTGGCCCACAAATACCTATTTGTTGCTGAATGAATTCAATGGATATAGCAAAGCTGTTGTAGCTAAAGCCAGGCAGGGATTCTGGAGCTGTTTTCTCTTGGCACCCTTCTTATTCTATATGACAATTCTTAAGGTACTTACAGGTCTGCTAAACCCATTTTTAAAAAGCACTGAGAATGAAGAAATGCCACAAGTATCATCTATGACTTTATTTATGAGCTCTATATTAAGAAGGAGTTTGATACAACATTCTTCATGCGCATTCTTCATAAACACTGTATTGAATTGTTGAATCTCATTACATGTACTAAGGAATAAGTCTGTATATAATAAAGCCAGCTGGAAGATTATCAATATTAAAATATGAAACATTTTTAAGACAAAGATATTACTTCTGAGTATCACTAAAATCTAAACTGGATAAGTGAAAATGTACTCTGGCTTTTTGAGCCCTAGGAAATCTCTCTTGCTGAGTAACTCAGAGGCTTGCATCTTTATTCTTTCATCTATTGATGAATAAGAAAATAGTCTCCTCTTACTAAAATAAGACAAAAATGTAATAGTTAAAATGCAGTACACTTATGAAAAATTTAAAGTGGCGTCAAGTACCTGCCATATACCTGACAAAAGATTAATCTTTAATACAGTAAAATCTATGAAATACATAAGCCTTGCATAAAAAAGAAAGGTAGATGGTATGAAAAGAAAAATCACAGAAGAGACATGCAAATGGCTACTAAGTATATGAAAAAATTGTATCTTGACAGTTATCAGCTGTATTAGTCTGTGTCCCATCGGAAGACAGAAACCATGTAGTAATTTAAATAAGGGAAGTTTTAAGAATTATTAAGCTATGATAGAGTAATGATAAAAATGAAAAGAGAACTCTGAAGGGTACCCTAAGTCAGAGGGAGAGAACTCTATAAAGGAAAAGCTTGCAGAAGATGTGGTTGCAGCCCATCAAATGGGAGAAGTTCTCTGGCTTGCCCAGACCAGAGCAGGACCACAGTTGCCTGACAAGCAGGAACAATCACCTGGAGTGTGGACAAGCTGAGGCATGTAGGCAGATGTGCAGAGGGACTGGGGGCTTTGCTAAAGGGTGGACAAAGGAATCAGGTGCTGCTCCAAGTGCTTCTGGGACTGAGAGCTAGAGGGAACTCCTCTGCAGGAACCTAGTACAACTCTATGGATGATTTGAGCTGGAGCATCCTCGAGGCCGCGTGGGATAAATGTCGTACAAGTAGCTCACTGACTGGCCAGCCCCGCAGTGCCCTATGGCAACTAGCAGTGGAGATACCACTCTGGGCAGAGTAGGGAAAAAGCCTGCTCTCCAGGAGCCTGGCCTGCCAGTCCCCAGGAATCAAAAAGGATCTTTTCCTCCTGCAATGTTTCTCCAGCGCCCTCTACTGACAAAGCATGACATCATGCAAGCTGCAAAGCAAACATTTAAAGGGCTTGCGTCCATTTTCACAGAGCAGTTAACAGTGAATTTGGAGCTGAGACACAAAAACTAATAACTGGAATGTCAAAACACAAGAATAATGAAATACACTTTTCAGTATATTAGCAAAGATTAAGAAGTATTATTAAGTATAACAAATCACAAGATGGGCACTCAAAATACTGGCAGAAATACGAGTACAAATGGATATAATTTTTCTCAAAAGCAATTTAGTAGTGAGTTTATTCTGTAATTCTACTTGTAGGATCTTGTCATGTGGGAATAATCAGAGATACAAAGGTATTCTGCAAAGATATTTATTATACTCTTATTTATTGTGACAAAAGGAAATAAAACACCTAAATGTTCAAAAAATAGAAAAAAAATATTAAAGAAGGAAAGAAAGAAACATTTACTAATAGAATGTTATGCAAACGTTAGAACTATGTTTTCAAATAAGTTTTAATTATAGGGGTAAATTCTCCTTGTATATCTAGATAAGAATGTACTCATACATATTACAAAATATTTATTATTTATATGATATCTGTTTATATGGGTGTGTACTCTCTAATATTTGTATATACCCAAAACAACATATTAAATGTGGTTAGTCTGGATTGTAGAATTATTATTGATTCATGTTTTTTCTAATTTTTCTATATTTATTAAATATTCTGTAATGAATATGTTACTTTTTAAATCAGGAAATAGAACAGTTATGATTTAAAAGTTGTCAACAAAATAGTAGTAAGTACATGCAAGTACAGAATTCTACTAGATGCAAAAATGTTCAACCTAATTATTTAAATGAGACATTAACATCACTTTTGTGGTAGTTTAAAAATATGTCCAATAAAGTCTTTGCAATGGATTGAATGACCCACCAAAGGCATTGAAGCTTGATACCCACTATAAGTGTTGAGGATGGGAAATCCTATTGTAATTGAAAGGTGGGGCCATGATTAGGTGATTAGATTGTAGGACCATGCCATAGTGAATGGATTAATAATGGTGGTCATGGGTGTGGTTCTGAGGGCTTTAAAAGGACAGCACGTGAGAGTCTCTCTCTCTGCTCTGCCGTTCTCGCTATGTGACACCCTGCCTTTCTGTAGAGTCAACTTATCAGATGTGTTTCCCAGACTGTGGACTTCCCAGCCTCTGAAACTGTAATCAATAAATTTTGTTTTCTTACAAATTATGCAGTTCCAGATATTTTATTACAAGCAACAGAAACAGACTAATACAGTCTTTGATACTTCTTTTTTCAAGAGATGGAGCCAAATTCTCCTCTCTTTGCAAATGGGCTGGACATAATGACATTTTCTTTTTTTTTTTATTTTTAGTGAACAAATGATTGCATATAGTTATGAGGTACAATGTCATGTTATGATATATATATATATACTTTGTGGAATAATTAAATCAAGCTAATTAACATACCTATCACTTAACATATATATCATTTCTTTGTATTGAGAACATTTAAAATCTACTCTTTGAGCAATTAGTGACTTCTAATAAATAGAGGAAAATGGAAGAGACAGTAAGAGACTTTGGAGACTAGGTCATAAAAGTCACTGTGGCTTCCTCCGAGGTCTCTCTCTCTTTTGGATCAGTTGCTCTGAAAGAAGCCAACTGCCATATCCTGAGCAGCTCTGGGGAAAGGCCTCTGATGAGAAACTGAGACCTTATGCCAAAAGCTGGCAAGGAACAGAGGACTCCCATCAAAAGCTATGTGTGTGGACCATCTTAGAAATGGTTCTTCCAGCCTCAGCCAAGCCTTCAGATAACTGCAGTCCTGTCTAATAGCTTGACTGCAACTTCATGAGAGACCTTGAGCCAGAAATCCAGTGAAATCACTTCTGGATTCCTCATCCTCAGAAACTTTGTGAGACAAGAAATGTTTGTTGTGGTATGCTGTTAAGTTTTAAGATAATTTATTACGTAGCAATAGATAACTCATAATTTCTGAGACAAAAATATGTTTATCTAAGCATCATTTTTGCATAATACAAGAATGTAAACTTTTGTCACAAAACCACTTATCTTCATTTTAAGTGGTCCAACTATTTCATTATCAGTTATGTATTAGTTCTGATTACATTCTAGGTCATATACTTATTAATGGTAGAGCACCTGTCACATTCATCTTTGTATACTTTGCTGTATCTATTGTCTTGTGTATAGGATGCTCTCAATAAAAATTGCTTGAATAAATAAATGTCTGAGTTAGTGAATGAATGAATAAATGAATGTGTGAATGAATTATCTGAATCTTTTTTTAAATCCCATTATGTATGCCTCTTTTTTCATAAGTCTGATCCAGTAGCTGAAGAAAACTAAACCGTATACATATGGTTTTCCCTAATATAGTGGACTATTTTATTACCTCTTGGCTCTAGAAAGTGTTTAGTTAGGTAGTGTTACTGTGGGACTTGGTTTAGGTCTGTTCAGAAGTGGTTTTAGGAACTGAAGGGGAAAGGAGACCATTTGCAAAGCAGTTGATGAAGTGGAAAAGGTAGCAGGTGTAACTGTTAGGTAAATGGGAAAGGAAAGAGGAAATCGGATCAATTGTAGAGGGCAAACCCTTCAATGACATCCATTTGTCTTCTAAATATCTAACACCTATTAGATTGAGCCATTTGAAATAGTTAATATTTGACCTACAGAGGCAGCAATTTCATTTTGTTGAAACTATTAGCACTTGTCATTTGCCAGGCACTATTTTAAACATTTTGCCTATATTAACTAATTTAATGCTTATTACAATCCCATGAGGAAATTACTCTTTCAACCTCATTTTATAGATGAAGAAAATAAGCCATGGAGAGGTTAGGAGATTTGCTACGGTCTTTTGTAGAATAGGTAGGATTTGAATCCATGGCTCCAAAATCTATAAACTGCACCACCATAATCTATGGCCTAACCCTAAACTATACTCCCTCAATCTGGCATTCTTTTATGTGTCCTCATTTGTGAAATGGGAATAATAGTACCTACTTCACTGGACGGTTGTGGGAATTATAAGAATAACACATGTAAAGCTGGCACTTTGTACATAAAAAGTGTGTTATAAATGTGAGCTATGTTATAATTAAACTACAGTGTATCCCCACCCACCATTGCAGCCTTATCTTCCTCTTAAGTCTCACTGCCCACAACTACT